CTCCTTTTAAAATAAGTTTTTTTTGGGGGGGGGGGGGGGATAGCATGAATAGTATTGTGCCATTATTGTGTGTCATATTTCTTTTCTTATTGTTTTCTAGAAAAAAAAAATATATATATATATATGTATATATATATATATATAAATTCAATTCAATAAGACAGTACACAGAATCTCTTGGATTACAATTTGCAACTAGACGGATGTACTGTTACTTCCTCTACAGTCAAAAATCTGAGTGTTACATTAGATAGCATTTATTTTACTCAAGAAAATATATAAACAAAGACAGTTTAATCAACAGATGATACTCAACTATATATCTCAACAAGACCAGATGAAACTTCTAAATTATCTAAGCTAACAGAGTGTGTTAAAAATGTAAAAGATTGGATGACCAATAAGTTTATCCTATTAAATTCGGATAAGACAGAGATATTACTTATTGGACCAAAAGACAGTACACAGAATCTCTTGGATTACAATTTGCAACTAGACGGATGTACTGTTACTTCCTCTACAGTCAAAAATCTGGGTGTTACATTAGATAGCATTTATTTTACTCAAGAAAATATATAAACAAAGACAGTTTAATCAACTTTTCTCAATCAACATTTTCACTTAAAATGACAGTTCACCCCAAAATGAAGTTTCTCCCATCTTTTACTCACCCTCTTGTTGATCCAAATCTGCATGAATGTCTTTCTTCTTTGAGACATAAGAGAACATATTTTGAAGAATGTGTGCAGCCAAACAGTTGTTGGCCCCCATTGACTTCCCTAATATGGACAAAATGCTATGGAACTCAACAGGGACCAGTGATTGTTTGGCTACACACTACTATCTTCTTTTAGATCATTCTGGGATTGCCTTCTCTAGCAAGAGTTTTAGAAGATACAGTAGCATAAAAGTGTTCCCTAAAATGCTAAGTAGGCAGCTCACTAGATTTTGGAACGGAGCTGTTAAATAACAACAGTTTCAATTATTGTTTGCATGATTTATGTCAGTAACGCAATTGGGTCAAATGTTGGTTTTTGAAGACTCAAAGGCTTTTGGATCTACAATCAGCAATCTGTACTGGCAGGTACATCACAAAACGCCAGCGATTATCTTTTCTCCCCGGTTTGTTTGTTTTCAACCCTGGCTTCATGCTGCTTTAACCGCTGTCAGAGCAGGCCAGATTTGCCAAGTCAACGAAGCGGTTTACAGGAGCTCAGCTAAATCCGGGCTTTGTGCAGGCCTAGGGCACCTCTGGCTCACACCGCTGTCTCTTACCGAAGGGGAAAAACGCATTGGCGTGGGCTCCACCCACCCTGAAAAGTCACATACACATGTCCCACCACACTCTCACGCAAAGACATTCAGCCAGAATCAGTTCACTGACAAGCTGCACAAAATCGCATTCAAAATCGCAGGCGATTCATTGCTGATTTTGAACGAATTCCTCCTCCTCCT